TATCTTTTAGAGAGGGACATTTTTTATAGGCAAACATAGGTCTTTCATTAAATTCAGGAATGTCAGAGTGACAATCAGACAGGACATGCCAACGTTTAAAGACAATTTTGTTGAGAGAAGATGATCGTCTCCCAAATCTAGAGATAAATTTCAATCTTTGAGCTTTAGCATCTTTCTGTCTTGGACATAGACACTCATCTCTACTCTTGTTTTTGACTTCATTTAGTTGTTCAACCAGAAGGACCCTAGGATAGCCCCATTTATAAAATCTATCCACCATATTATTCAATTACATGTCAACTTTACCACTGTCCGGCACCAATCTTTTGACCCTCATTAGCTGGCTTTTGGGTAAAGCTTTAAAGACAGAGGAGGGATGGTAACGGTCGAAAAGTAATAGAGTGTTCCTATCAAGGGGCTTCCTATACACATTGGTCTCAAATCCCTCAGCTCCCTTTGTAATCAATATATCCAGAAAGGGAAGCTCACTATCACTATGTGTCATGGTAAATTTAATAGTCTGAGAGCAAGAATTCAAAAAAGAAAAAAAAGTGTTCTAAGGACTCCAATATGCCAGTCCACAACATCAGTATATCATCGATATACCTGATCCATTTATCAACATGTCTTTTAAACAATTCATTGACATAGAGAAATTTCTCTTCCATTTCAGATATGTATATACCGGCGTATGTGGGTGCCACATTGGAGCCCAAAGAAGTTCCCCTAAGTTGTAAATAAAAGTCTTCTTGAAAAAGAAAGTAATTGTCTCTCATACCATTTATAATAGCTGTACAAGAAAGAGTAAGGTTTCACCTTCAAACCCTAATGTCACAAAAGCATTTTTTGCTGCCCGAAGGCCTAAATCATGTTCTGTCAAGGTATATAAACTGGTCACATCAAAAGAGACCAAAGTGTATATCTCAACATTCCTCACTGTTTCAAGTTTTTTTAATACCTCTGTCGTGTCGTTAACATATGACTTGATACGACTTGATAGTACCGAGCCAATCCCTGCCACAATGGGTCTTCCAGGTGGACATACTAAACTCTTGTGAATCTTAGGTAACACATAAATAATTGGTACTATTGGTGATTTTCAAATAGAAACCCATAGGTATCTCTGTCAATGATTAGTTTGTCAAGAGCGGCTTTTAGGACACTCTCAATTTTAGCCTGTAATAGATTAGTGGGGTCAAAGTTAAGTTTTTTTTATAAGTTTCAACATCCTGCAGTTGTCTTAATATTTCTTGTACATAGTCGCCTCTATTCTGAACCACAATGGCACCACCCTTATCCGCTGGTTTGATAACCATGTCCCTATTATTCTTCAATGAATTTAAAGATTTAAATTCAGATTTCGTTAGATTAAAAGAATCAAGGTGGTGACTGTGGCCAGATCTAGAGGAGAACAAAAGGTCAACATCTCTTTAAACTAAATTAACAAACGTTTCAACTGCATGATCATTTCAAGGAGGATTAAATAAACTATTTTTCTTGAGTCCAGTATCCCTTAACCTAATAGATATATTTCCTATAGGTTCCTCCAGAGCAGGGAAGACATTTTTAGAGAAGAATGCTTTCAATCTAATAGTTCGAAAGAAACGAGTAAGATCTAAATCAATATCAACTCTATTGGGGGTATAAGTGGGACAGAATGTCAAACCTTTGGATAGCACAGATATTTCTTCGGTTCATAAGTCAATGGAAGACAGATTGATCACGGTGTTTTCTTCCGCTTGGGTCCCACTTGTTTCTGTCTCCATAGTGATGGTAAAGTTTTGCTTCTTGTGTTTACTTCCACCTCTTCTGAGCCTCTTTCGCTTGAGCCACCCCAGGATGGGGGGGGGTGATTCCCCTAAAAAAGATGAGGAACTTTCTTGTGTTAAATCTACATCTGTGGTAGAAGATGTACCATTAGTGCATCTTTCTCTTTTCTTATTCAATCTTGATGGTTTTTGTTTGAGATTTCTTTTCGGGAGATGTACATTCATCTGCCTTTTTGATTGCGATCTATAGACATTACCCATTTCATAATCCACCAAGTCTGTTGAACTTGCTTTTTTTCCGTTCTTCGATTGTTTTTTTAAGTGACTCAACGTTGGTGCATATTTGTTTCTTTATTTCAGAAGGTCCTTTACCTTCTGTAGATTCAGTGAGCTCCTTTTCCAGAGTATCACTTTCTTTCTTTGTCTTATTAATCGCTTTCTGTAAAAACTCAAAATTCAACAGAATCCAGTCCATGGAACACTTATTAAGTATAGATTCCAAGCTTTTACAATATTCATCATCCTCTCTGAAGAGAGTAGGTTGAACATTCATCCTTATTCCTCTTGGGATACGGTGAACTTTGTAGTACTCTGCAAGTGTCACACTGTGGAGTTTGTAACTCAAGTTTCTCTTGAGGCTTTTTTTCCAAAGCTTTACCCAATGATTCAGAACTTTTAGTAAGTAGAAATGAATGGCTACTTTCAACTGCCTCCAATATACGCTGTGCATCACCTTCTGAATAGGAAAAAATGCTGGGATATGTGGTATGATCCATACTGCCAACAATAAAATATAGGTCTATAGATAGACTCTCAATTAAAGTGAAAGGTGCAGAACCCACATTGCTGAAAATACGTAGTAAACAAAAGGTAGGGTCACACTCAGTCGCAATATACCAACGCAGGGTGTTACTGAGCAAGGGTCAGCAAACTCCAAGAAATACGCAGTAATGAAAAAGATCTCAGGCACTCACTGTACTTGGTTCCAGGCAGATTTATTACAACGTTTCGACCTATACAGGTCTTTATCAAGCTAACACCACAGTGACAGAGTGTAACGGGTGGCGGTATGGAAACTGAGACCCCTGAGTGCCTGTTGAGAAGTGGGAGTCTTCAGCGTGGTAATGGACTATCAGGGCCTGGTGCAGGCTAACCACATGTTCTTTGGCTTTGAGCACCAGTGTTTGTGCGGCCACATACCAGAACCCTGATGCAGCTACAGCGGATCCCAGGAACTAGGAGCTTGATATGCAGACCTCCCAGGAACTGGATAGGGGGGCTCTGCAGCAGACATATATCCAGTACAGAAACAAGGCAAGGCTAGGATAGTCACCAAACATGAAAACAAGACAGAACTAATAGAACCCAGAACCAGAGAAGGATGGAAAGCAGAACCCAGAGCATGTACACAAGACATGAGGAAAACAAGAACAGGGCAGGACAGGACTGTATATGAACTGGGATTACTATATATGAAAAGAAGACAAAACTAGGAGAACCCAGAACCGGAGCAGGATAGGAAGCTAAACCCAGAACATGTACACAATACATAAGGGAACATTAACTAAACAGGAGCAGGACAGGACTGTACATGGACTGGGATTACAAAATAAAACAAGACAAAAAGATATAATATGCAAAACAAGAGGAGACATAACTAAGCACTATATATGAAAAGTATGGGGATTTAGTTACATTATATGATCATACACTGCATAAGCCTGCCACAACGCCAATGTAGCCCATATTCGGCAGGTCCTACACTGCCTAATGTTCACTAAAAGAACCATACTAAACCACAATAGCACTTACCTGCAAGAAAGGGCAGAGACTTGAAACACTGCTGCAGGTCCAGACTGAAACAAAAGGAAAATGGAAAACAAACGTGTGTGGCAACATAAAACAAACATTTAAAGGAAACCTGGACACTGGGAATTCCAGGGACGGATTACAGGAATGAACCAAGAAAAGCCCAGCATAAAGAAAACCAGACAGAATAGAAAACCAAAAAAACAAGAAAAACTAAGCAAGAATTGTAAAAAGAGTACTAGAGACCAGAAACCAAAGCCAGACATCTCCGCAGAACATGGCATGATTTGACACAGAATTGCATTTATATACACACATCATACAAACAAATAATCATTGTTTAACCCCTTAAGGACTGGACCTTTTTTGCGATGTTGTACATTTGCGACCATGCATATTTTTACACTTTTGTGGTGTTTGTGTTTGGCTGTAATTTTCCGCTTTCTCATTTACTGTTCCCATACAAATTATATATTGTTTTTTTCAGGACAAAAGGGGCTTTCTTTACATACCATTATTTATATAAACTCATGTATTTTAATTTAAAAAAAATAAAAAAAATGATGAAATATTAAAAAAAATACATGTTTTTTTACTTTTACTTGAAAAATCTTTTACTCATCTACAAAAGCGAATGAAAAAAACTGCTAAATAGATTCAAAATTTTGTCCTGAGTTTAAAAATACCCAGTGTTTACGTGCTTTTTTGCTTTTTTTTGCATGTTATAGGGCTATAGGTACAAGTAGGATATTGTGGTTTCAAAACATACATTTTTAAAATTTATCAATAGTGACATTGTAACACTATTATCTGTCATAAATCTCTAAATAACACCCCACATGTACATATTTTTTTAAAAGTAGACAACCCAGGGTATTCAATATGGGGTATGTCCAGTCTTTTTTAGTAGCCACTTAGTCGAAAACACTGGCCAAAGTAAGCATTCATAATTGTTTGTGTGTGAAAAAAGTAAAAAAAATAATTGAACGCTAATTTTGGTCAGTGTTTGTGACCAAGTGGTTACTAAAAAAGACTGGACATACCCCATTTGCAATACCTTGGGTTGTCTTCTTTTGCAAATGGTATGCCATCATGGGGGTAATTCTCATTCCTGGGCTACCATACGCTCTCAAAGGCAACGTAACCAACCTGGCCATTTTCAATGTAAAAATATTTGACCCATATATTTGACCTTGTAACTTTCAAAAATGCTATAAAACCTGTACATGGGGGGTACTGTTTTACTCGGGAGACATCGCTGAACACAAATATTAGTGTTTAAAAACTGGAAAACGTATCACAACAATTATATCATCAGTAAAAGTGCTGTTTGTGTGTGAAAAATGCAAAAAAAGTAACTTTCACTGACAATATCATCGCTGTGATATGTTTTACTGTTTTGAATCACTAATATTTGTGTTCAGCGAAGTCTCCCGAGTAAAACAGTACCCCCCATGTACAGGTTTTAGGGTGTCGTAGAACGTTACAGGGTAAAATACAGTGCTAGCAAATTAAATTCTCTGGAATTTCGGCCTGTGTTGGCAGGCAGGTCCCTCAAATTGCAATCAATAAAATTACTGAATTATGTAAAAATATTACATAAATACGCACGTAGAATTTAAATATATATGCATATTTATATATTTGAAGTCTACGTGTATATTTATATAATTATTTATGTAATTTTGTATATGGACATATGTATATTTCTTATTATTTTTATTTATTTTTATATACATAGATATATATACAAATTCATTCTAAGTGTATTTTGATATAAATATATATATATATTAATTTTAAAATACAGTTAGAATAAAATTTCATATAGCTATATATTTTTTTTATTTTTTTTTATTATTATTTAAAATAAATTAATTTTATTTAAATTACTTATTTATATTTTATAATAATATATATATACAATATATATAGTTATTATATATATTATATATATATGTGTGTAATTTAATTATAAGTGTATTTTTATATTAATATAAGTACATATTAATATAAAAATACACTTAGTATGGCATTATATATATGCTATATAGACATATAATATATGTCTATATAGCATATATACACATATATAATTATTATTATTTTTTTTATTAACACTAACTTTATTTTTTTTATTGATTTTACACTTGCAGGGAGATTGCCTGTCAGCACAGACAGTCCCCCTGCAGGCTGACACATGGACACCTATTGTGACCATGTGATCGCTGTGTTAAGCGATCACATGGCCACAGGGGTCCTAATTCAGTGTGGGGAGACTGTCTGGGCTGCAGGCAGTCTCCCCACAACCGGAGCCACGCTGATCGCCGCCGGGGGAACGACGGCGATCAGGTAAGTAGCTCAGACCGTTAGGACGGTTCAGGACCGTCATCGGTCGGCAAGCCAAAAATGCAGATGACGGTCCTGAACCGTCCTGGGTCGGGGAGGGGTTAAACCTATATACACATATACATAAACAAAGATTTATTTTGTTAAATTCTTACAATAGGAGGATGTTTATGTATAAAGGAAATACAAAGTATTCATATCTCTCTCATTAAGAATAAAAAAACAAAGGAAACAGCACTAAAATAAACCAATACTTTAATTGAAGAGAATAGGAGGCAGCAAACCTAAAAATAGGTTTCCCTCTAAGCCCTATTAACAAGGATAGTACAAAAGACAAGACAAAGAAAGATTGTGCCAAAACAGACTATAGTACAACTGATGGTAAACAAAGTCCAAAATATGGTGGTAAATCTTAACCCCTTAAGGACAGAGTTTAAAAAGCTTGTCTTTCACTTAATGACAACGGCATCTTTTTAATTTTTTGCTGTTTGCGTTCAACTGCAATTTGCATTTTACTAATTTGTTGCACCAACACATATTATACATCGTTTTTTAAAGGACAGAAAGGGCTTTAGTTTGATTTAACACACATATATATAAATGCTTATTTATTATAAAAAAATACAGAAAAATGTAAAAAAAAAAATTTTGTCGTTTTTTTTACAGTTTTTGCAATAATAATGTGTGCATAATTAGTGCAGGTTAAGAAAAGTAATTAAAAATAAATTCATTTAGTTGTTCTGATTTACAGAATATATAATGTGTCTGGAATTTTAAGTTTTTTTTGGTAGTTACAGGTCACAAAGCACAAGGAGTAAAATAGACTTTTAATGTGGAGCGATTTTAGAATTTGGTATGTTTGTCTTGTAAGCTTAATAGCCATAAAAGAAAACAAAATTGCCTTACAAAAGTATATATTTATATAAAGTAGAAATCACGGGCTATTGACCTAAGGTTGTTTTGACACTTTCTACGTAGCCATTTCACCGCCAACCTCTGCTAAATATTGGAGTAAAATTGTGTTTTTTTTTGTTTTTGGCACACAAACTTATAACAGAGAAATTCTCGTGTATATTTTGTAAAGTTGGTGTGTGCTATTCCTGTACAAAGTTTTATTTTGTGTTCAGTTACATCTGCTGAGTAAAATGACACCCCCATTGTATGTCTTTGGCACTATTTCGTGAAGTTACAGTGCCATACAGGATGCCTGTCCTTTTCAGTATTCACAGTAGAATTTTGAGAGATGGATTTAATGAGCCTTAGTTTCCATTTGGGGTATTATAACAGTTTGACTCTTCAAAAAACTCCCACAAAGGCCTACCATTTGTAAAAGTAGACACTCCAGGGTATCTCATAAGGTGCATATTGTGCCTTAACATGCCCCCATTTTTTCACCAATGTATGCCAAAGTATGTGGTAAAAAATAATTTTTTACATACGGATTGCATTTTTGCTGGGCGTTTTGTATATTTCATATGTGCCACTAAGTTCAAACACCCCAAATTATGCTCAGCTAAGTCTTCTGAGTAAAATGACACCCCATATGAATGTCTTTGGCACTATTTCGTGAAGCTACAGTGCCATATAGGAGACCTGTCTTTTACAGTATTCACAGTAGAATTTTGAGAGATGGATTTAATGAGCCTTAGCTTCCATTTGGGGTATTATAACAGTTTGACTGTTCAAAAAACCCCCACAAAGACCTACCATTTGTAAAAGTAGACACTCCAGGGTATCTCATAAGGTGCATATTGTGCCTTAACATACCCCCATTTTTTCACCAATATATGCCAAAGTATGTGGTAAAAAAATTATTTTGTGCATTTTTTACATACGGATTGCATTTTTGCTGGGCGTTTTGTATATTTCATATGTGGCACTAAGTTCAAACCTCCCAAATTATGCTCAGCTAAGTCTTCTGAGTAAAAAGACACCCCCAATGAATGTCTTTGGCACTATTTCGTGAAGCTACAGTGCCATATAGGCAGGGCCGGTGCAAGGATTTTTGCCGCCCTAGGCAAAAGAAAGATTTGCCGCCCCCCCCCCCCCCGGGACATCGCAATGCCCCACCCATATGATCTGCCATATGAACTAGTGCCAGTGTGCACACAGTGTGTGTTTACATTAAAAAGCCTGCAGGGAAAAACTATGGACACCAGAACAACTTTATTAAGCTGCAGTGGTTCTGGGGACTATAGTGTCCATTTAATGTGAGGTAAATTAGAGATTTGTGTCACTAATAATATACTAGATTGCCTACTTACAATCAGATGAGGATGGTGATGGGCTCTGGCTGCAGTCTGGCTCCACTGGTCTAGAACAGGATCTCTGGAGGCTGTTTGCAACTGTGGTCACAAAATTCAATGTTCTGGGAGAACGGGAAGCAGCTCCATTTTTTGGGGCCTCTTACATAGCTCAAGGTCTGGGCCCCAGAGCCTGACGGTGAGTATGCCCATAAAGCCCACCCATAAGTCCACCCATGAGTTCGCTCACAGGGAGTAGAGTGTGTAGGGGATGTGTTATGTGTTACTGTAGAGGATCTAATGTGTGTGCTTACGGAATGTAGTGTATAGGGATACCTGTTTGTGTAGGTGATGCAGTGTTGTTTGTGTAAGGGATAGAAAGCAGTGAGTGTTTGTGTATAAGGGATGTATTGTGTGTTTCTTGTTGTGTGTAAGGGATGCATTGTGTGAATCTGTGTTTGTATGCATAAGGGATGCAAAGTGTGTATGTAAGGGATGCAGTGTGTGTGTTTGTAAGGGGTGTGTTGAGTGTGTGTAAGAGATGCATTGTGTTTCTGTGTGTGTGTGTAAGAGAAACAGTGTGTGTTTGCATGTGTGTGTAAGGGATGCATTGTGTGTGTTCTGTGTATATGTGCAAAGGATGCATTGTCTTTATGTGTAAGGGTTGCATTGTGTGTTTATCTGTGTGTAAGGGAAGCATGTTGTGTTTCTGTGTGTATAGGGATGCATTGTGTGTGTGTGTGTGTGCGCGCGTGGTGTGAAAGAGCTCCCTGTCCCCCTGTCCTATAGAGCTCTCCCTTCCATTCCTTAGATATCTCCCCTGCCCCTTAGTGGTATCTCCCCTCCCCCGCACCTCCCTTAATGGTCTCCTTTTCTCCCCGACTTTCCATTAGTGGTCTCTCCTCTCCCCCCACCCTCCCCTAGTGGTCTATCCTCCACCCCCTCCCTTAGCGGTCTCTCCACTGCCCCCTCCCTCCTTTAGTGGTCTCTCCCTCCCCTACTTTCTCATCTCCCACCCCTCGTGTTCTCCTCTTCTTCTCCCCCGGTGTTTTTCTCTTATTCCCCCCCCTCCCTGTGTTCTCCGCTTCTTCTCTCCCCTGTAATCTTGTCTTCTTCTCCCCTCCCCCCCGTAATCGCGTCTTCTCCCCGTAATCTTCTCTTCTTCTCCCCCCATAATCTTCTCTTCTTTATACCCTCCTCCATCAATCATATCTCCCACTCCATCAATCCCCCTCCCTCCCATCAAACCATCTCCCTCCCTCCCATCAAATCATCTCCCCCCCATCAATCATCTCCCCCCCTCCCATTAAATCATCTCCCCCCCATCATCATCTCCCCCCCTCCCTCCCATCAAATCATCTCTCCCCATCTCCCATCAAATCCATCCTCCCCCCATCCGTCTCCCCCCCTTCCATCCCCCAATATTCCCCCTCCCATCAAATCATCTCCCCCCCCCTCCCTCAAATCCTCCCCATCGATCATCTCCCCCCCTCCCATCAATCGCCCCCCCTCATCAAATCATCTCCTCCCATTAGATCATCTCCCCATCGATCTCCCCCATCATCTCCCCATCATCATCTCCCCCCCCTCCATCAATCATCTCCCCATCATCATCCCCCCTCCTCCCATCATCATCTCCCCCCACTCCCATCTCCCTCCAGTGTCTCCCCCCTCCATCAATCATCTCCCCTCCATCTCCCCCTCCATCAATCATCTCCCCCCCTCCATCAATCAGCCTCCCCCCCCTCCATCTCCCCATCATGATCCTCCCCCTCCCATCATCATCCCTCCCCCCCCCAGCAGCTTCTCCTCACCTCAACCCCACTGCCCTGTAGCGTGGCCGAGCTGCCTAGTTCGCCTTATAGGAAGCGCCGGCCCTGCATATAGGAGACCAAGCCATATCCGTTTTTACCAAACTTTGAATTTTGACGCTGGGCCTATGTGCAATTTCCAAGCATCTTCGCAGGTTTTAAATTCAAACTACCCCACAAAGGCCTACCATTTCTTAAAGTAGACACCCCAGGGTGTTTCAAAAGGTATAGTTTGAAC